CAGTCTTCTGCTTCCTCTACTCTGCTGTTTAGACCTTCTAATGTGTTCTTTATTTCTAATATGTCACTCTTGATCTCTTCTTGTTGGTTTTTCATTTCCAATTGGTTTATTTTCAGCATCTCTATATCCTTACTCATGCTGTTGAGCTTTCTCAAGATCATGGCTCTGAATTCTAGTTCTGTTCACTTACCTATCTGTTTCACATTGATATCATCTTTGGTGGAGGTTTCTTGTTCTTTAATTTGGCTTTTGTTTCTGTGTTTCACCATTTTAGCTATCACAGTGGGCTTTGGAGCCTGCCAAGTTTTCCCTGTGGGTGTTGGTGTTCTGCTGTTTGTTGCTCCCTCTCTTCGGTTTAGATAAGCGAGTGTGGATCCATGTTAAACACCACTGTCAAGTCTTACTCTCCTGGTTAGAGTTGCCAGCCCAGGAATGGTAATGTTATCCTCTAGCTTTTTGCCTGGAGGCTAGCAGTCCTGGTTACTTGAAGAGTTTTGGGTTGTTAGTTGATTGATAAACTCTCTCAGTTGCTCAATGTAAGGGGATTTCCTGAGGGTGGGGCAGATGCTAGTTTTTAGTAAGCCTCAATTAGCATTTCAATGGCCCACAGGGTAGGGTTGAAGCTCTGAGGGAGGGGCTGCTGCCCCCCCCCCCCGAGCCCTGGGAAGGAGCAATATGGCCACCATCCTGCATGACTACAACTCAGCAAGAGCTCCTAGTGCCCTTCAAATCCTGAGCGTCCCCACACAGTTCCAGTCCAGTCTGCCCTCCCCCTGCCAGAGCCCAAGGTGAGTCGCTCTGGCTATTTTAGCTTCTGTCCTGGCTCTGCACTGTGCAGCCACTTGGGATTTAACTCAGGGGCGCTGCTCACAGCTAAGGCTGCTGTCAAGCTGCTGACCGTGGGGTCCCAGCCCCCGTCTAATGCCTTTGCAATTCTACCAGGATCAAGTCAATGTTCCTGGTTATATGATCCTTACAAGCTGCTTTTCTGTTGCTTTTTCCTGTCAATTTGTCTGTTTTAGTTGTAATTCCAGTTTAGTCCTGGGAGACGGTCTGTGTAGCTTTCATTCACTCCGCTGCCATTTTGGAATCTATCCCCATATATATTTTTTTAACCTCACCTGAGAATACTTTTCCATTTGTCAGATAGAGTGAGAGGGAGGGAAAGAGAGAAATATCGATGTGAGAGAGACACATCAACTGACTGTCTCCTGCTTGACCTGACCAGGGTTGGGGACAAACTGCAGCCGAGGTACGTGCCTTTGGTCAGATTTGAACCCACAACTCATTGGTTCACTGGCCAACGCTCTAACCACTTAGATAATCCAGTCAGGACAAGCTTCCATATTTTGAGATGCTCTTTGCAGAAGCTCACATAGCAAGGACACCATCTTGGCCTTAGTCCAATAATCGTTGAGACTTAACGTGGTAACAACCATAAGGTTGATGGGAGGAGTGTTTTACTTATTTTGGTCTCTTTGATCTATCTTTTTGACAGAACTATTTTTAAATCTTTTGCTATTCAACTTACTTTTACAATGCTGTCAATATTCACTTTATATATTTCTAGGTATATAAGTGCATGTAGATTCATAGTTTTTCTATCTTCATAGTGAATTTTCATATATGTATTTATTTATATACATATTCTTCATTTTAATTTCTTTAATATTTCATTCCTCAAAGTATATTTTTGTTTGATATTGATATTCTAAAAGATTTCTTCTGATTAGAATTTCACTGGCAGATTTTATTTTATTTGTTTAGTTGAAGTTTCTCTGTTTGATTTTATTTTAGGTTGATTTTTCCATGTCACACGTAACTGATTTCTGTGCTTCTATGTATCTCTATTCATTTTTTCTTAATAGATCTATTTATTTCATTTTTAAAAATTTATTATTATTATTATGGGGTTTGACTGGCTTGCTGCTCACATAGTAAAGCCTTAGCTGAGGCAACTCGGCAGATTTGGTTATGGTATTGTATGTTTCTCCAGTCTGTTATAAATATTCCCATGGTAATCGGAGAAGAGTAGAGCAGGCAAACACAGTCACACATGAACTTCGTAAGACTGTATTCACTCTGTGTTTGCTAAAATCTAAATGACAATGGCAAGTCAAATGACTTAGCTTAAAGCCAGAGTTAGAGAACCCTACAAGTTACATGGCAAAGGAAGTGGATACAGAAAGAGATGAAAAATTGAGACCATAATGCCCTCGGTTTTTCCATACTCTTTTTTATTTTGCATGTCTTGAAACTATCAGTTGTTTTTCTATCTCTATTTTTATTTCAAAAACTTATCTCTCTATCTCTGTATATATACATTTGTACACACATTTAGCATTTCATTATTCTATCTGGTACAAAACAGATTTTAGTCTATATTGTAAATACAACAATCTATATCTTGTAGCATTTTCAAAAAATTTTCCTTCTCAATTTTGAATATAAAAACTACTTGGTGGTTTTTATAACAAATATTTAAATAAATACAAAGGAACATTTTATTTATTTATTTTTTATCCTCACCCGAGGGCATTTTTCCATTTTTTATTCAGATAGAGTGGGAAGGAGAGAGAGGAAGAAAAAGAAAGAGAAAAACATCGATGTGAAAGGGACACATCGAGTGGTTACCACCCACACAACCCAACCAGGGCCAGGGACAAACTGCAACTGAGGTACATGCCCTTAGTGGGAAGGGAACCCGGGTCTCCCTGGACTGCAGGCTGATATTCTAACCACTGAGCCAAACTGGCCAGGGCCAAAGGAACATTTTATAAATTCCTATTTTCACCATTATTTATTATGTCATGCAACTTTTTCTTTGTTGATTTTTTTTTCTCATTTAAATATATTTTCCAAAAGTTCTTTTATAAACATTAGAGGAGTCATAAATGATTAAAGAAGTTTTGAAAGATATGTTTAATTGTTCTTCACTATTTTTTTATCTGTTGAGAATTAGCACATATATAGAAACACGATTATGTATGCTATCAAGTATATAGATTGATGATTTTTCAGATATGTAAACACCCATGTAACCATGCCCTAACTTAAGATATAGAAACTTTCCAACATACTAGTAGCTTTTCTTGTTCTATTTCCCAGACTATACCGTTACCCGCTGCCCAACCCCACTCTGGGTGCAAAGAGGTAATCTGGGCGCAAAGAGGTAATTTCCATTCCGATTTCTACCACCATAGTTAGCTGTGTCTTCTTGAATTCCATATGAATTGAAACACACAACAGTTTTGAGTATGAGAAACACAGTTTATTCTTGTTATTTATTAATTAATTATTGTATTATTTTTCACACAAACAACTGTAAACCCACTTTTCTTTACCCTGCATATTCTTTGGCGTCTTGATTGCTCTTCTTTATAGAAATGCTTAACAAGAGGTAGAGTGTTTCCTCCTATTTTATTCTACTAAATTTATTCCGATTTTAGCAGATAGGAGAATGATTAAATCTAAACTAATAGTGGGGGCAAACCTAGTAGCACATACTTTTACACTGAAAAGTCCTAGAAAGGCTGAGGAATTGGTAGCACCATCTTCCTTATGGAAATAGTGATGAGACAATTAAAATAATATTTAGCCTCCTGTATTTCATGATCCTGTGCAATTACCTACTTACTCAAAGTTTATAGTTTATTATCTGGACTGGGGAAAACAAATACCATTGAGAGAAGAAAAATTAATTTTATAGGAAGGAAATTTAACTAAACTTACACATTTTGAATGCTGAGACTCCTCAACTCTCATAACTACCTGGCTTCTAGAATTCTGGTAGGGAGACCTGTATTCTCCACACAAGAATAATATTCTTGCCTGTTTATTTGTTTTAATTTTCATTTCTGTAATGAGGTTGTATCTTTCAGTTTTATTTGACTCAACTCCTAAAATCAGGGCAAATTCAGTAAGCATATCATGTATTTATTGGCCACTGGTATTTATTCTTTTGTTTATCTTCTTTGCTCATTTGTCTATTTTTTATTTTATTTTTATTTCCATATTGGCTTGTAGGATTTTATTACCATAAATGATTTATTGTTTGATCTTTTGTATGGTTTCGAATAAATTTCCAGTTTATTACTTTAATGTCTAAGAAAAGTTGGGGCTATCTTTATTACTTGCTGATATTTTATGAAAGTGATAACTTGGTCATTTTCTCACTGTACCTTTTTTTTAATGTATTAAATTATAACATTGTCTAAGGAGACTTTTATATTTGGAATGTGTTTTCTACCTACCATATAAGGTAAAGTATTTTGTGGTTCACAGATTAGCCACTAGTCTTTTTTGTGGAAGGTCACATAGGAATAAAGAACCTGTCGGCAATTACCTCTTTAAAGTAAGCCTCTTGTTATCCTGAAGTGCAGTTTCCTGTGGTTTACCTCTATGTCTGTTTGGTCTTTTCACTTTTACATCTTCTTTTGTTTTGTTCTTTAAACTTTTTTTCTTTATTTTATTTTAATATTTTTTCGTCACTATCTATCCCCCCATACCCTCTTCTACCTCAACTCTGCCCCTCAGTGATCTTTCTTTTCTTTCTGTTTTCTTTCTTGCTTGCTTTTCCATCCCTATGCTATCCAACTTCTAAATCAAAGGCCTCTCACCAGAAATAAAATAAAAAGATGATTTATTTTTAAAAATTTACAAATTATTTATTTTATTTCTATTGTATTTATTGGGATAATGGTTAATGAAATTATATAGGTTTCAGGTATACAGTTCTACAATACATTATCTGTTTCTCTCAATTTCTTTACACTGGAAACATAAATACTACTGGTGAATATTTTTCTCACTGTTTACTTTTGATATCTAAATGGTACTTTTCAGGAGTTGCTTTGGAATGGGAGAACTTTTAAGAACACGTGAACTTCATTGGTTTACATTAAGTCAGAAGCTAATTTAAATATACCTAATTTTAATATAACTTTTTTTGATGTAGATAAAATCAACTGGTTTTTTTTTTTTTTCTCTCTCTCTCTCAGGAGACAGGTAGAAAAACTTAATGTTCTATGTGGTCACTTCAGTACATTAATTCAAGATATTAATATTAGTATTGAGAAGACCATAGAGGCTGGGAAACAAATAAAAATGGAAACACGGACAACAAAAGATGAATTATCTGATTTATCAAAAACGGTGAGTTTTCATGTTTAAAAATAAAATATAGTGATTTTAGTCTTGAACCATGGCTATTAAAGCTAATTCTCTGTCAATAATTATATAGCAGCTAACCAATTTTCTGTCTATAGTTGCATAACAAATTACCATAATTTTAGCAGCTAAAGCAGCATCCTTTTTTTTTTTTTCATCGCAAAGTGTCTCTGGGTTGTGGCTCAGCTAGTTCCTCTCCTCCAGGGCTTCCAAGACTGAAATCAAGGTGTCAGCATCCCTGCATTTCGTTATGGAGACTCGAGGTTGAATCTGCTTTCAGGCTCATTCAGTTTTGGCAAGATTTGGTCCCTGTGGTTTTAAAACTGAGGTCCTTGTTTCCTTAGTGAGAGTCAGCCTGGGATCATTCTCTGTTTTTAGAGACTACCTGCATCCCCTGGCTGGTGGTTCCTTTCTTCTTTAAACCAGGATGGTGGGCTGAATCCTGCCATGCTTGGTATCACCCTGACCTTCTCCTGTGACTCATCTTTCCTATCTTCCTCTTCTGCCACGTCTCGTTCACTATAGTAAGAGGAAATTATAAAATGGTAAAAAGAAATTATAGTATCTTAAAAAGGTAATAATATACACCTTACTGTACCAATATGCATTCCTATCTAGACTTAAAACTACATGTCTTTTTTGCTATTTTCTATCATCTCTTTTTAATTGTATCTTATTTTAAAAAATCCATACTTATTCATGGATTCACTGAGCATATTTTAATGGCTTTTGGGGGGTCATCTGTAGTTTCCTTTCTGTGTAAAAACCTGCTCATGATTTTTCCAATGTTGAGTGATTGCTTATTTTTTATTGATATATAAGAATTTGTTGTATGTTCTGAATACTAAATAGTTTAAAGTTACATATGGTAGAAATATTTTCACCCAATATTTTTCCATCTCTTTATAACTTCTGATGAATGAAATTTCAATTTTAATTTACTAAAAGTTATAGATAAGTTTCTATGAACTTTGTACTTTTATGAACTTCTTAAGAAATTTTTACTACAAAAACAAAAAAAATAATCTGCAGTATTTTTATTGCAAATGATTTGAAGTTTCGCTTTTTATATTTACACAGTCCTCTTAGATCAGCGGTTCTCAACCTGTGGGTCGTGACCCCTTTGGGGGTCAAATGACCCTTTTACGGGGTCACCTAAGACATAACAGTAGCAAAATTATAGTTATGAAGTAGCAACAAAAATAATTTTATGGTTGGGGGTCACCACAACATGAGGAACTGTATTAAAGGATCACGGCATTAGGAAGGTTGAGAACCACCATCTTAGATGAAACTATGTTTAAAATATTCAAAGTTGAGTGTTTTGTCATTCTATCTTTTAATTACAAGTTTGGAAATAATAAAATATCTCTAGAATTTTAGGAATGTATGTTTTGCTTCCAGATGTGAAACATAGTTAATATGGAAATCACTTATGGGCATGACATAAAGAGATGTTTTAATCTTTTTTCTTTTTTTATTGAATTTATTGGGATGACATTGGTTAATAAAATTATATTGGTTTCAGTTATACAAATCTATAATACATCATCTGTGTATCATATTGTGTGTTCACCACCCCAAATCAGTCACCATTTATTCCCTCTATACCCTTTTCTACCCCCCAAACCCCCACTCCCTTTTCTTCTGGTAATCACCATACTGTTGTCTATGTCTATGAGGTTTTTCTTTCTTTGCTTAATTCCTTCACCTTTTTCACCCAGCCCCCAGTCCCCTTACCCTATAACAGCCGTCAGTCTGTTCTCTGTCACTCTGCTTTCTATGAGTCTGTTTCTGTTTTGTTTGTTAGTTTATTTTGTTCATTAGATTTCACATATAAGTGAAATCATATGATACTTGTCTTTCTCAGCTGATCGAAAGGGAGTTGGGTTCTAATATATTTTCTTATACAGAATACAAAATGTTACAATACAATTTATTGTATTTATTTATATACCAATATTTGGTGCCATCTCTGTCACATATGAGGCTTCCATATTTGTGTGTGTGTTTTTTTTCCATTCTCTTTTTTTTTTATCTTCACCTGAGGACATTTTTGCATTTATCTTTAGATAGAGCAGGAGGGAGAGAAGGAGGAAGAGAGAAAGAAACATTAATGTGAGAGAGACACATCGACTGGTTGCCACCCACACGACCCCAACTAGGGCCGGGGACAAACTGCAACTGAGGTACATGTCCTTAGCGAGAACCGAACCCGGGACTTTCTTGTCCACGGGCCAGTGCTCTAAACACTGAGCAAAACCAGCCATGGCTCCATTCTCTTTTTATTCTTTTGTTCTACTTAACCAACTTGACTTTAATACTTCATGTCCATATTATTAAACTTCTATAATGAATTTTGATTATCTATTATGGTGAACTACCCAGTCTTATATTTTTAATGAGATTTAGGCAATTCTTGACCTTTGCCTTTTCATATAAATTTCACTGTTATTATTTCCTTCAGAAATTGTATTGGAATTATGAATCACATTATTTATGAATTATTTGATAGAGAAATTAAATCTTATGATGGAGATTCCTAAACATAAACATGATCTATCTCTCCATTTATTTGGGTAGTTTTTCTAAATTGGACCTTAACCAGCTTCCTTGGAAATTTGTAGAAGGCAAACTCTCTCTGCAAAATTAGCCTATGATCTGTCTTAGATAGATTAACCCTTATATTTACACTGAATTTTAAAGTTATCTTTAAACTGATTTTTAGTGTAATTATTACTTGTTCATAAAGGTAGTCTATATGGTATATATTATCTATAATTTGTTAAGGCTTAATTGTGTCCTACTATAAGGGTAATTTGCATAAATAGTTTATTTGGGAAATGTTTTTAGTAATAGTGGTATATAGTTCTAAATAGGTTCCTTTGTGAATAATGAATGTGAATTGACAATCACATTATTTAAATCTTTTATATTAATGATTTATTTTCTAATGGCTTTATCAATTACTATAAGAGCCGTATTTATAATATCTTAGTATGATAGTGGGCTTCTGTTATTGACTTCTAATCTTATTCCTGTGAGGATAGAAAATATACTTTGCAAGATTTCAGCCTTTTAAAACTTAATATGATTTGTTTTATAACCTAACATAAGGTCTTTCCTAGAGAATGCTCTATGTGCACTTGGGGAAAATATTATTCTATTCTTGTTGGAAGGAGTACTATGTAGATATCTATTAGGTCTCCTTCTTGTTTAGCATTGTTCAAGTCTATTTCCTTGTTAATATTCTGTCTATTTTTATTCATTATTTAAAGTGTATATTGAAGTCTCTATTTTCATTAAATTGCTTATTTTTCTCTTCAAGCTCTGTCAGTTTGTTCATTTATTTTGAGGCTTTGTTGTTTGGTGAATCTCTGTTTGTAGTTGTTATATCTTCTTGATTAATTGACTTGCCATTATGAAATGTCTCTAGTAATAATTTTTATTCAAAAACATATTTTGTCTGATATTAATACAGCCACTCTAGCTCTGCTTTGCTATGATTTTCATGGTGTTTCTTTTTTTAACCTTTTATTAAAAAGGTTATGTTCAACATTATGTTCAACATGTCTGTGGGGTGTTTCTTGTTGTGTTATTGTTTTGTTGTTAATCCTCACCTGAGGATATTTTCTCCATTGATTTTTTTTTTTTGGAAACAGTGGAAGGGAGGGAGAGAAGAGGAGAAAGAGAGAGTGAGAGAGAGAGAGCGAAAGACCTATGTAAGAAGACACATTGATTGGTTGCCTCCCATATGCATCTGGGGTGGGGATTGAACCTGCAACCCAGGTATGTGCCCTTAACCAGGAATTGAACCTGTAACCCTTTGGTGTGTTGGCCAACACTCCAACCACTGAGCCACACCTGCCAGGGCTATTTGTGTTTTTGAATCTATATTGTGCCTCTTGTAGACAGTATATTATGGGGTCATTTTTTGTTTTTGTTTTTTTCATCCTCACCCAGGGACATTTTTCCATTTTCTGTTCAGACAGAGTGGGAGGGAGAGAGAGGAAGAGAGAGAGAGAGAGAGAGAGAGAGAGAGAGAGAGACATCGACGTGAAAGGGACACATCGAGTGGCTGCCACCTGCACGACCAACCAGGGCCAGGACAAACTGCAACCGAGGTACATGCCCTCAGCGGGAACTGAACCCGGGTCTCTCTGGACCGCAGGCCGACACTCTAACCACTGAGCCAGACCGGCCAGGGCTGGGGTCATTTTTTAAATTGAATTTATTGGGGTGATATTAGTTAATAAAATTACGTAAGTTCAGATGTACAATTCTACAATACATCAACTGTATATTGTATTGTGTGCTCACCAGCACAAGTCAAGTTTCCTTCCATCACCATTTATCTTTCCTATATCCTTTTCTACCTCCTTTCACCCCCTTCCCCTCTGGTAGTTAGCATGCTGTTGTCTGTGTCTATGAGTTTTTGGATTTTTTGCTTAATACCTTCACTCTTTTCTTCTAGCCCCACAACCTCTCTCTCCTTTGACAGCTGTCAGTCTGTTCTCTATCTCTGAATCAGTTTATATTTTATTCATTAGGTTCCATATATGAGTGACATCATATGGTACTTGTCTTTCTTTGACTGGCTTATTTCACTTAGCATAATGCTGTTCAAGTTCATCCATGCTGTATGACAGGGTCATTTAGAAAAATAATTTATTTAGTCAATTTCTATACCTTCATCAAAGTGTTTAATCCATGTATATTTGATATAATTATTGATAAGGTAGGATATATGTCTGTCATTTTGCTATTTTCTCTTATAATTTCTCCATTACTCCATTACTACATTTTTTTGCATTAAATAATTATTTCTTAGTGTACCATTTCAAAGTAATATTATTCCTTTGTCATTTTTTTAAGTATATATTCAAAAATTATTTTCATAGTTCTTTCCCTGAGATTATAAATTATCTCTCAACTTACAAAAGAATCTATTTTGGCCCTGGCCGGTGTGGCTCGGCTGGGAGTCATCTTGTGCATGGAAAAGTTGTCAGTAGGATTCTAATTTAGGGCACATGCCTGGGTTTCGGGGATTGATCCTGGTAAGGGATGTATAGGAGGCAGCCATCCATATTCCACTCTCACATCATTGTTTCTCTCCCTCTCTCCTTCTCCCTTCCTCTCTCTCTAAAAATAAATTTAAAATGTTTTAAAAAAGAAAAGAATCTATTTTGGACTAAAGTAACTTAATTTCAATAGTATAAAAAAATTTTGCTCCTCTATAGTGGCTTTTCCTTTCCCATTTTTTTGTGCTCTTATTGTACAAATTACATTCTCATACATGTATGGCTATTAACAGAAACTTATAATTACTACTTTGTTGTTGTCTTTTAAATCAGGTAAGAAAAAAGTGTTACAAAATAATATATTTATACCATAATTTAATTTTTATCTATGTAGGTATGTTTACTGATTCTCTTTATTTCTTCTTGTGTATTCAAGTCATTGCCTAGTGTTTTTTCTTTCAGCCTGAAGAACTACCATTAGTATTTCATTTTTTAAAATATGTTTTTTTATTGATTTTTTAGAGAGAGAGGAAGGGAGAGAGAGAAAAACATTGATGTGAAAGAGATACATGGATCATCTGCCTCCTGCATGCCTCCTGCTGGGGATTGAGCCTGCAACCCGGGCATGTGCCCTGACCAGGAATCGAACTGGGATCTCTCAGTCCTTGGGACAGTGCTCTGAGCCACACTGGCCAGGCCCTTTAGTATTTCTTATAGGACAGATCTCCTAGTGAGAAATTTTCTCAATTTTTGATTATATGTCAATGTCCTAATATCTCCTTCATTTTTTTTTTTTAATCCTCACCCGAGGACATTTTTCCATTTTTGATTCAGATAGAGCAGGAGGGAGGGAGGGAGAGAGAGAGAAACATCGATGTGAAGGGGACACATCGAGTGGCTGCCACCCACACGACCCAACCAGGGCCGGGGACAAACTGCAACCGAGGTACATGCCCTTAGCGGGAACCAAACCCGGGTCTCTCTGGACCACAGGCTGACCCTCTAACCGCTGAGCAAAACTGGCCAGGGCTCTCCTTCATTTTTAAGTGGTAGTTTTACATAATATAGGATTTTTTGGTTCCTTTTTATTGTATTTTGAATATGTTAGTATATATCATCTGGCCTCATGGTTTTGGATAATAAACCAGGCAATAATCTTATGAAGATCCTTTGTGTATGAAATTTTACTTCTCTCTTGCTATCTCTTTGTTGATATTTTCTATTTGGTGAAACATCTTCATGCTTTCTTTTAGTTCTTTAGACATTTATCTTTAACTCTTTGCATTTACTTATTTTGCCCTTAGTCACTTTTATTTATTTGTCCACTTGCCCCATTTTTCCCCCATTGACCCCCTCCTCTCCACTCCCACCTCCATCCTGCCTTCCTCACACTATTGTCTGTGTCCATTGGTTTCCTTTGCACATACTTAAAATAGCTGCTGGGACGAATAAATTCAATATCTAAGCTTCTTCTGGCACAATTTCTATTGAGTGCTTTTTTTCTTCTATATGGTACATATTTCTTGTTTCCTTACATTTCCATATTTTTATTGAAAAATGGACATTTTAAATAATATACTGAGAAAACACTGTGAATAAGATTCTCACTCCTCTCCTGGGTTTGTTCCTGTTTCTTTTTGCTGGAGTTGTTACTTGTTTGTTTCGTGACCTTTATGAATGATTTCTGCAAAGTCTGTTTTCTTTGTCATGTGTAACCATTGAAATTTCTTCTCAGTTATCTTAGTGATCTATTAATAATTGGAAAAGGATCCTTAAAAGTTTGGAAACAACAAATCTCTCTTTCTTTCCCAAGGGGCTTTGTATGCTTGTTAGCCACATCCTCGACAATAATGCAGGCAGTTGTCTAGCTCTGCCTTACTTTTCACCTTCTGCTTTCATGGAGTTTCAAGGTCAGCCAGAGGTGAAAACCTAAAGAGTTTTTCAGGTTATCATTGGAGCCTGTGAACAGCCCTGGGCTTTCACACATCCCTGTGGGTTTGCGGCCTTTCACATTCCCAGGACTATGTTGGAGCTTTACAAAGCCATTCTACTCATCTCTTCCTCTTAAAAATCTTTTGTTCTTAAGCTTGTTGGTTAGTCTGTTGTTTGCCCCAACTATTATCCACAAAGATGGCCACAAATTTAATCAATTGCCTGATTTATGATAATCATGTCTTGGGAAAACTTTTTTGGGGAGACATTTTGTACTTAGTGAACTTTGTATTAAGTCAGATACAGATATTCTTGCAAGTGGAGCCTTCCAGAAAACCATCAGACAGGTCAAATAAAGATAATTCTCATAACGAAGCTTTGGAGGCATTCCAGTTCTGTTCTAGTACCTCTGATGGCTGCCCAAATGCTGGTGTGCTCCACAAATGTAAATGTTATTCTTCAAGGCTACCAAGGACCACAGGAAGGAGGGATTAGGACAAGTTAAAATCCCACAAAGCTCATACTTCTTATTAACATTAGGCTGTTTTTCTTGAATAAGTGCACCTCCAATTGCTAAAAAGCCTTCAGTTAATCCCCATAGTCCTGAAAAAGTTAATTTTGATTTTTTTGTTTGTTTGTTTGTTTTGCCAGATTTCTCTTTACTTTTGTGGAGGAAAATTTTCAGATGTTCTTACTCTGCCATTTTCATTGATGCCCTTCACTAGAACTGTATCTTAGAATGTCGGGCTTTTATTTCACATTTTAAAACAGTATTATTTTTCCTTTAGTCTTGTTTATTATAAAATATGCTGTCAAATATGTCAAAAGATCTTTTTGGTTTACTTGGCAAGGTGACATTCTCCTTTAGCCCAAGATTATACAAACAAACTCATATTGATTATTTTAATATTTTGCATTGTTTGGTGTTTGCATTCAAATTTTTATTTATCTGAAATTTATTTTGTTTTATCATGAGTTAGATGTGAACTAGAGAGACCACTTTATTTTTATTTTAATAAATAATATACATTATTCCAGTTCCATTATTTGAAGTAAATGATTTCTGTCTCACTCAATTCAAATACCACTTTTAAAAATATTAATTCAGATTTATTATTGGGCTCTAGTTTTCCCCTCTGACCTTTATTACAATACCAAAAAAATAGTGCTTTATTCTAATGATATTATGTTTTTAATATCTGGTAGCAAATTTCTAACATTATTCTTATTTTTCATATACCTTTTTGCTAATCTTTCATACTAATTTTATTTCATGTTGTTTGAAAGAGAACACTTCCTTCTATTATGCTTTATATTAATTTTGGGATAACTGACATTGTATTTTACTAAACCTTTCCATGACATGTCATTCTTTTCATGTGGGTCTTGACTTTTAAATACGAATCTGTTTGCTTTACTTAAGTCCTCCCCTTTATATTGGATTTATTCCAATATTATTTTTACTAAACGTTGTAAGTATTTTAGTAGATTATTTCTTTTATAGATAAGAACTGCTTTTTTTGTTTGTTTGTTTTTTTACATATTTATACATGGCCATTTTACCAAAATAATTTACTGTAGTTTTGGATAGAATCTCCATGTTTTCCTAGATATTCAATCATATAACCTAAATTTAAAGATATGTTACCTATTTACATTTAGTATTATAATAGTAAGATTTGGTTTCATTATTCAATTGCATTTAGCTATACTTTCACAAAACATGATTAATAATAGTGTTGATAAAAGATAACCCATTCTTATTTTTTAGTTCAGTGGACATGCATTTAGCATTTTATGATTTATTTTTGCTTTTTGCTGTTGGTTTTTTATATTTGAGTAGTTTTTCCTTGTTCTAGTTAAAATTATGGAAACTAGATAGTGAATGTATTAAATGACTATTTTGTGAAGTGTTGGCCATATTCATGTTATTGTCTCTTTTAATTTGTTGATGTGGCCCTGGCTGGTTTGGCTCAGCGGTTGGAGTGTGCCTGTAGACCAGAGAGTCCAGGGTTCAGTTCCCGATAGGGGCATGTACCAAAAAAAAAAAAAAAAAATTTGTTGATGTGATAAATTATGACTTTAATTTACTAATTTTTATCTATTCTTATAACTAAATACATTCTATTTTATCATGATCAAATACTCATTTGAGCATTGTTAGACTTGATTTGCTATATTTTATTTAGAATCTTATATCAATTTCATAAATGAAAACATCCTATGGTATTATTTTATAATATTTTAATCAATATTTATTAACTTATGGTAGCTGCATAAAGTGAAATATAATCTATTTCTTATTTTACAAATTAATTCTCTACAATTCATTTTTGTGTATATTTTTTTTCTTAGTTACATGATTTGAAAAGTATTTATGATCAGCTAACTTGGAAGAAAAAAAGTTATGAAAATGAATATCTGGAAAGACTTAAAAATTTTTATGATGCTGTAAGTTGACCTTCCTCTACTTCCCACTAGATTTCCATTCTCTATCCCCAAACATTCATTTAGGCAAATAAAGTAATTTTATATATTATTTATTTTTGAGATACATAAATGTGTATAATGGTCTTTTTATTCTTTTCTTAAAGAAACGATCAAGGGATATTGAACTTTCTAATATCACAAAAGATTTTTCAGATCTCTCGATAACATATTCTCAACTTGTGGAAGAAAATAAAAGAATGGAAGTAGATAGTGAAATAGTAGCAGATTCAATCAATAAAAGGTAATTCTGCAAACATAATTTTTATTCTTATATAACATATTTAATGTGTTAAATATAATAAAACTCTTCATTTTGTGTTCCTAGGGTTGTATGATGGTATTTGTGTTTATCATGAACTTAAGTTTTATTTGTTTCTGTTTCAAATATTGCTCTTTAATCACTCTGAATCCTTTTAGAGAAATCAAAACAGTGAAAAGTAATTTTATAAGGAGTTTTATACTCAGTCATATCATATCCTTTTGAAATATCTTCTTATACTCAAAAACTCTTTAAAATTAAAATATGTCTAATGAAATTCATGATCTTCAGTCAATGCTGAATTCTTCTCTGTAACTACTAAATTATGTTTTATGTTTACATTTTAACTGTTATTTGTTGAATTCTTTTTTAAAAAATTGTTTCACAGGTAAACAATAAAAAGTATATGAAGAAAAATAATAATGTTTCAACATGTGTCTCTACCTCCGTTTCTGACCTCAACCAATAACTTCAGTTTTTCTTAGCTCAGAAACCTATGAGTTTTTTTTGAATCCTCTTTCTATTTCAATGCTTTTATTTAACATGTTAACGAGAAATGGCCCACATGCAAAATATTTTTTTCTTTTCTTTTTTGGGGTACATGCCCCTAGCGGGAACCGAACCCGGGACTCTTTGGTCTGCAGGGCAATGTTCCAACCAGGCAGGGTCGAAGTATTTTTTAATGTTTGCTTTTGACTGCTCCACCAACACCCTGGTATAAGCTATCATCATGTCTTACATGAATTTACTTTCAAAGCTGGTTTACATATAGTCTCTATGCTTCCTTTCTAATCTATTTTATACATTGTGGAAGGTATGTTCTTTTTTCTTTATTTTTAATTATAAGTATGATCAGTTTTCCTTCATCTCTGCATTAATTTTAGCTGAGGAAAAGAGACAAAAATCTCTCCTTAATGTATCCCACATGGTCTCTGAATAGCAGGCAGATCTGCCTTTGCAGTCTCATATCACACCTGGTTCATACTTATTTATTTAATTCAAATACACTGGCTTTACTTGAATTTCTCCTACTTGCCACATTTTCTTTCCAGCCCATATGGCATTTTTATGTTATTTCTATTTTCTATAATGTTTTTTCTCTTCCTTATACATACTTGATCACAGCTTAGGAGTCAGTTCTAGGAAGATTTCATTGACTGTTCGATTAAATTCGATTCTTCTATTATGAATGTATATGGTACACATTCTTTCTTCTTCAAATCTCTTGTTATATATGCATTTTTTTGTGTGTAAATATTTACTTATGTATGTCTTCCTAAAAAAATGGGAATTATCATGAGGGCAGATATAGGTCATTGACTACCTTTTCTTCAACATTGACTCCTCATCATCAAACACAGTGCCTGACAAATACTATAATTAATTATTGAAGGGGGGGGAAAAGGAAAGAAGAGAGAAGTGATGATGATACTTAATGATTGTACAGGAAGTTTGTTAAAATTTCTTATTGGTTATTTTATCTTTGGGAAAGATATAATAAACCCAATTGTAAAATATATCTGTATATTAAAGAAAGCAAAAGCAACGTTGTTTTTGGAAGAGTAACCAAAAAATAGTAGTTGCTAATGTTACTATATTTTATTTTATTAAGAAAGAGAACCCAAGGAGAAAAATACATTTGAAGAGTGGGTAAGCTAATGAGAAGACCTTTTGGAGGAAAGGAAGAGAATGTGCGAGAGCAGTTATTAGATTATCTTGCAGTAATGAGCAACCTCCAACTCTTAGTGATATACAAGTATAAAAGTTTATTTCTTACTTGCATGGCAACTTTGCTGTGTGTGGGCTTCATGCTATTTCTACTTCTCAGATTCAGGGTAAAGGACTGGATCCTCCTGGGGCATGTTGCTCAGATGGCACATGTGCATTAATAAGATACTTGATGGCTCTTAGATTTTCCACAGGAAGATGACAAATGTTACTTCTGCTCACACTTCATTGAACAAAACAGGTCATATGGCCATGCCTGATGTTAACAGGATGGGAATTCTAATCCTCTGAAGAAGAAAAATAGTGAATAATTGGGAACACTAATACAACCTATCACACGCAGTAGTAAGGTAGTCCTGGTTATAGGGACAGATTTCTGTGGTATGCATTGCGATTGTCTAGTAACACGTTAAGATGTCACTTGACTATTTAATTTTTTCTTGAAATTAAAAAGTAAATGAATGATTTTAACAGCAGATCACACAGTGGTGAACAGAGAATTAGTGCAGGATTAGTAAAATAAGAGAGAGATTAAGGGATGTGTAGGCAAGAGTCAGGTCTACTACATAACTAAGTGATGTTCTGAGTGAAGAGAAGATACAGGACAGAGCCAATATTTGATGACATAACAGTTCATATAATGCAAGTAGTTCATATATATATATACACACACACGTATATTTTCCTTTTCATTGAATTTATTTGGGTGACACTGGTTAACAAAATTATTTAGGTTTCAGGTGCACAATTCAACAACATATTATCTGTACACTATATTGTGTGTTCACCACCTCAAGTCAAGTCTTTGTCCATCACCATGTATACCCCTATACCTTCTTCCACCTCCCTCCATGCCTCTCCCTGATCAATCACCACACTGCTATTCTTGTCAACGAGTTTTTTCCCTGGTTTTTTTTTGTCTGTTTGTTTATTTGTTGTTGTTGTTGCTGTTTTGGTGGGTGAGGGTGGAGTTGGAGGGATTATATTCTTGTTTTTAACTGGCAAGCCTCTCAGATAGATAAATGCAAAAATGATCATTTATTTCCCAAATTTTATTTAATTTTTCTTCCAATTATAATACTCTGATGTAAATGTTTAACATGTATCTTTTACTTTTTAAACATAGTAGCAAGTTATTTTAATCTACATCTAATAATTTAAATAGCTGTCTTCTTTGCAATCTACTACTGCATCTAGCTCATGCTTCTGCTGTTTTTGCTTTGTTATTCCATTTACTTCTGGAAACTATTTGTGAAAAATCTTTAAATTCTAGGATAAAGTTGAGTTAATTATTTGCAGCCCTATATTTTTGAGAGAGGTTTTCAATTTGTGTTCTTAGATATACCCAAAACCCTTTTTAAATTTCTCAAGTCACGATATTCAAAGCTCTATTTGATCAAAATTTTCAGGGCTTTTAGAGCAAAAGTATCCTGTGTGATCTTCTTAACACATTATAATGTATATTTGTTATAGAAAAGAAAATAAAACTATAAAAACAGATTGAAATCTAAAATTATTTCAATACATAGAGGTTATTACAGTTAATATCATTGTATCTTTTATTCTAAGTGAAACTGTGTGTCCTGACTTAATTCAAAAGATAGTATTATAGGAATTTATTACATTGTCATACAAATTTAAAACACATCATTGAAATATTTGTACAAAAGTCCACTACATGGGTGAACTATACTTGTCAATATTACTCTAATTTTTGTATTGAAGTTTTTATGAATTATTATAAATATTGTGGAAAATGTTTTGTTTAGATACCATCTTTAGCATTATGTCTTTTTGAAATTTGAAGTAGATTTATAGAAGCATACTGGCTATAATACTTTTAAATACCTTGTGACTCTTTAAAACTACTTTCCAAAAAGACTGCACCTTTTGTTGAAGATGAACTGTACATGAGCTTGTTCTTTTTTAATTAATTAATTTATTTTTGATACAGATGTTTCTCCTTTTACCCCCCATTGATTCCCCCCTCCCCCTCCCTCCCTGCCCTGTCCCCAGCTTTGTTGTCCATGTCCATTGTTCATGCACACATGCATATAAGTTCTGTGGTTTATCTCTCCCCCACCACCCCCTGTTCTGGGGATTGTCAGTCTGTACCCCACTTCCACGTCTCTGGGACTACCACATTCCTCAGATTGTTATGTTCATTATATTCCACAAATAAGTAAGATCATATGATTCTTGTCTTCCTCTGTTTGGCTTGATTTGCTTAGGATAATACTTTCCAGGCCCCTCCATGCCGTCTCAAAGAATAAGAGATCTTTCTTTTTTACAGCTTCATAGTACTCCATTGTGTATATATACACTGCTTTTTTATCCATTCATCGACTGAGGGACATTTGGCTGTTTCCATATCTTAGCTATTGTAAATAGTGCTGCTATGAACATAAGGGTACATATATTCTTCCTGATTGGTGTTTCAGGATTCTTAGGGTATATTTCTAGAAGCAGGATCACTGGGTCAAATGGCAGTTCCATTTTTAATTTTTTGAGGTAACACCATATTGTTTTCCATAGTGGCTGCACCAGTCTGCATTCCCCCAGCAGTGTACTAGAGTCCTCTTTTCTCCACACCCTCGCCAACACTTGTTGTTTGATGATTTGTTGATGACGGCCATTCTGACAGGTGTGAGGTGATACCTCATTGTTGTTTGAATTTGCATCTGTCTGATGATTAGTGATGTTGAATATTTCTTCATATGTCTCTTAGCCATTTGTATGTCCTGTTTGGAGAGGTGTCTATTTAGGTACTCTGCCCATTTTTTAATTGGGTTCTTTGTTTTCCTTTTGTTGAGTCATATGAGCACTCTCTATATATTGGAAATTAACCCCTTATCTGACATATCATTGGTAATTATGGTCTTCCGTACAGTGGGTTGCCTTTCCATTTTGATGATTGTATTTTTTGCTGTGCAGAAGCTTTTGAGTTTGATGTAGTCCCATGTGTTCATTTCTCCTCTGTTTCTGATGCCTTAGCTGATGTATCAGTGAAAATTCTACTGCGTATGATGTCAGAAATTTTGTTGCCTACAGTTTCTTCTAGGATTTTTGTGGACTCATGAGTCACATTTAAATCTTTTATGCATTTTGAGTTTATTCTTGTGTATGGTGTAAGTTGATGGTCTAATTTAATTTTTTAGCATGTAGCTGTCCAATTTTCCCAACACCAGTTATTAAAGCGGCTATCTTTACTCCACTGTATGCTCTTGCCACCTTTGTCAAATATTAATTGAGCA